GCGCCAAATCTGGTGGCTTGCTTTCTCACTTTCTGTGTGTGTGTGTGTGTGTGTGTGTGTGTGTGTGTATGCACGTGCATGCGTGTGTGTGTTTCTCTTTGGTCAAATTAAAATAAACGAATGATTAAATAAAATAATCCTTTAAAAATATATGTGTAATTTTCAAAATAGTATGTATACTTGGGCCCTTTTCCTAGGTCAAATATTCAGTTTGGCTGAAATGTGACATTCCTCCTGTGTAAGACTACATCGGCTTGAATAAACAGGGATGGATCTTCATTGGCAGAGATCTAACCTCCACCTCTACCTGTCTTTACGCTTGGGAGAAATAGCTGTGCATTAGGCTGCTCTGGCTGAGTGCTTCTGACACAAATCCTTATGATGTTTCCAACACACCAGGGAGGCATGGAGCCAAAGGGCCCATCTGTGGCAGCTCCCCACAACAGACTCAAGCTACTCACACAGAGGTCATGTAGCTCCACCCTCAAAAGAGTTCATGGGAATAGATATCCTGCAAAACGTTATCACTTATTTTAGAAACCACAATTTTCAACTCGGTGAAACAAACACGACCTGTGGAAACCATATGCCCAAACTGTCCAGGTTTCTGACTTGTTATGATTGTATAAATTAGTGGTGCCCCCTTTCACGATACAAGTTGTCCCAAATCAAACAATAAATGAGATGGCCATCCTACAAATAGCCCCATTGCAAAAAAGAGACAAGCATGAGAGACAAAACGGAGGCAAGGTGATTTTGTGATGCCTGCTGGACCCCTGCTCTAACGCATGAGAGACAAAACGGAGGCAAGGTGATTTCATGATGCCTGCTGGGCCCCTGCTCTAGGCTATCTCCATACTTTATTCAGTGACTACAGAAAACACTTAGGAGATGCTCTTACCAATGATCTGAAGTCCAACTAAATAATTCTCCACTTCAACTGTATAACTTAGGGCAAAGTTTCCTCCTGATTTCAAGGATATGCAAAACCATCTAGTGCCTACTCTCACTGAAGTATGGATACTGTTATATAATGTGTTCAGTTCGTCCCTTAAACACATCCACCTGCAGAATCACCACTTCTGGGAGTTTCACTTGTAAATTCTTCAAAAATGACAGTCCTAAGACCAGCAGATGACATCATGGTTACATAGTTAGACTCCCACGTAGTTGACCTTGGTTTGAGTCCCAGACCCAGTGGCTTAAAACTCCTACCAGGTGCGTGTGCATGAGTGCCCAAAATCCCAAGAGGAGAACGGAGCAGAAGGGAATGCAGCATGGCCATCGCCCCTGGGGATGGGGGGATTTCTCACTTTCTGTCTTTCTGTCTCTCCAGCAAGTCAATGAGCCCTACAGAAAAAATTTCTCTAAAAAAATTTTAAAAAGAAAACAAAAAAAGATAATCCTAATTATTCCCACTATGGAACCATACTGAGTGATTCTGGATGCTCTAAAGGAAACATGGCAAGCAGCACACCATGTCAACCATCGCACCTGTCAACTTGACAAGAATTAAGGCCAAACATCAAAAGTGGATCTCTAAGGTCAACGCCCAGACGTGTATTGTCTGGCCTAGATAGGACTCTTATATCTTTGATATATTTGCCAATATCTTAAAATATGGAGTCAGACATAAAAATTCAGATTTCCACTTTCTCTTGGGCAATCAGCAACTCCAGAAATACTGGGCTTGCAATCTGCTTATGCACTTTCCACTTGACCGAGTGGCACCATGAGAAGGGACACTTGTTACCCAGATCTCCACGGTCCTCACTTACCCCTCTTTTCAGGCATTTTAATTTCTAACCCCTGATTAATGATTGGAGATAATCCCTCTGAAAACATCTGACTCTTCAAATGAATGAGACTACGTCCGAAATAGTCTCAGTTCAAAGCAAATAAGAATTCATATCTTTAGATCACCAAGGACTCATCTGAGAAATGACTATAAACAGAAAAATTGGTTATAGTTTTTCTTTTATCATAAATCTATATGGATTCCATGGCTCCCAATGGACTAAAAGGGATAAATGAGCCTAAATACGTTATTGGTAAATAAAAACACATTCAGCTTCTAAATTTTAAATATATAATGGAGGTAAATAAAACAAAAGGACTTTTTTTTTTTTAAGTTTTGCTATAGGGCACAAGAGACACAGAGAGGGAAAGTGAGAAATCACTACCCAGAAGGAATGGCCACACCACAATCCCTTCTCTTCCATGCTGCTCTCAGGATTTTGGGCATACACACACACACACACACACAACACACAACGTGTTCAAGTCTCTAGATCTGGGACTCAAACAGCAAAGTTAACCATGTGGGATCCAGCTGCCTTAAACATCACGCCACCAGCTGGCTCAATAAAAGGATATTTTCAATTGACTGTCTACCAGTAAGTCCAAGAAAGGATTCAACAGTCATTTATTATTTTAAGTTTGTTTTTTGAAGAAGAGAAAGAGAGACAGGTACCCCCAACTGGTCTTCATGCTGTCACCTACTCCCAGCCTTGGGATCACACACACAGGGAGGTCCTGGGTTGGGAACCCAGGATATCTCCTCTGTGGGTCTGGTTGCTTTATCCTGTACCACTGCTTGGCCCCTCAATAGTCACTTTAGTGAATTCAAGGTGCCATGACCACCAGAGAAACTATACAGCAATAATGTGGGCCAACCCTGTACCCTAACAGTTACGGAACTAGATCCCACATGGTCGGATACAGTTTGAATCTTGGCCCCAGTGGCTTGAAAAACATGCCAGGCATGTGTGCGCACGTGCACTCAAAATGTGCACAGGATGAAGAAATGCGGTAGAAAGAG